TTACGCGCGTCTCAGAAAGATGTGCTTTGCCTGCTTGATGATCTTCTCCAGCAGCCCCTCGCTGGGCTGCAAGGAGCTGATTTCATTCTTATCAAAAGCCTGAGGTCCTGCCAGTCTCATTCTTTTGTGGCCGAAAGGCGCACTCGCCGGATGAGGCATCATGTTGCTGCTCAGGGTCTGCTTGTGAAACTGGGAGGAAGAAGACACGTCGTGAGTTTTGACCCATTTTACGAACTTTCTTGTCGCCATCAAAGAGTTACAGCAGCTTTCTCTGGATGACGCACAGGTTTTACTTAATGACTGCCACAATAAACGTCATAAAAATTGGGCCTAGTCAAGGGGATGCCTTGACTTACTGTTGTCATGATTTACGATGGAAATTCCAGGTTCCGTTGCGGTCATAAATCGAGGACTCCCTGTACGTGCAAAATATTTCACGTGTCAACGCTGTTAATGTGGGATATTATTGCTTTGACAAGATATACAGAACTGTCTGGTATTTTTAGAGTTAATTCAGATGACAGAGAAAGGGAGGAGATTTATAAGGAAAGCAAGTGAATCTTTGCCCTCCGGGCTAATTGGAAGATGTGACTTATGACTGCAAAATAAGGGAGGGGTTTAGTAAGAAAAGTTAGACGCAAGCAAGAGAAATTCAGATTCTGGCACCCATTCAATATGTGCCGATAATGTGTCCATGATTACAGACTTTTTCAGAATAAATATGCCTGGAATTTCCTTGAAGTGTTCCATTAGTCCAGCGGTTCTCAACCTATGGGTCGCGACCCCATTTGGGGTCGATCGACCATTTCACGGGGGTCGCCAAGCAAGGCTGTCCACCATTTTTTCCCCCTTTTCCGGTGGGTGCCTTACCTCCCTTGGGCTGGGCCAGCTGGTGGTCGGCCTGCTCCGTCTCTGCCGCTTGCCAGCTACGCCTCGGCCGGCGCAGGGGGCGGAACCACGCATGTGCGGCGCTCCCGGGCAGGGAAAGTCCTTGACTTACAACCGGTTGGGTAGTCCTCGACTTACGACCGGTTTAGTCCTCGACTTACGACCGGTTTAGTCCTCGACTTACGACCGGTTGGGGGGTCGCGGCATTAAAAAGGTTGAGAACCACTGCATTAGTCGGAACGTTGACATCATGATTATTAATCTCTAGACTTGATCCTTAAGCGATTAAGGATAGTTGGTGTCCGGAACCTTTTGTCTAAATGGCAGTGCTCTATGTGGTTCTTTGTCCCCACATAATGGAACGTTCTGCACTGCAAATACCCCGGGCTGCTCTCAGGACCAGCAACTTTGGCTTCTCCCCAACGTTGGTTCTCTGGGCTGCTCAATTGCTCTCACTGTCCTCGGATCACCGCCGAGGACTTGACTAAACACTCAGCTATGTCGATGTTCTTGACCCGTTGCCTGGAGGCCGTACGGGTCTGGATGGGGAGGAACAGACTCAGACTCAACCCTTCCAAGACCGAGTGGCTGTGGTTGCCGGCGCCCCGGCATAGTCAGCTGGTTCCATCGCTGTCTATAGGGGGCGAAACTTTGGCCCCCTCAGAGAGGGCACGCAACTTGGGTGTCCTCCTGGATCCACGGCTGACACTAGAAGATCATTTGTCGGCCGTGACCAGGGGGGCGTTTTATCAGGTTCGCCTGATTTACCAGTTGCGCCCTTTTCTGGACCGGGACGCTTTGCGCACGGTCACTCATGCCCTCGTCACCTCCCGCCTGGACTACTGTAATGCTCTATACATGGGGCTCCCCATGAGGAGCATCCGGAGGCTTCAGCTGGTCCAGAATGCGG